GAGGGTAACAAGCGGGACATATCCGCCAGGTCAGCTCTGCAAGACCAGGTGCGACCGCGTGCGAAGAGGCAGGCGGATGAAGTGGGAACTGCAGCTGAGAGGCTGAGGCACTGAGCACCACGGTGAGCCCTCCCACACAGCTGGGGAGACACAGCGGGAATTCAGGGACCACCAGAAAAGACCCTGGCGAGCCGCTGAGGTTCCACATAGGAACTGCAAATGGAACACAGCTGACCTGGAGTAAACCAGCCCTCTCAACCACTGATAACCAGACTTAACAGAGACGAATCCCTGGTGAGATCAAGGTCACTCACTTCTCCCACAACTACCTGGCAAACACAAAAAACAAAGCATCCCTAAGGAAGCGAACACCATCTAGATCATCAACCTAATCTACCATTTCATATATAACTGCTGGTGTTCAATAAAAACTCTAAAGAACTAAAAATCAGAGAAAAAGAAATGACAAAACAGAACCACCAGGAGACTCAGATGTTGTAGTTACCTTACACAGTCCCTTTAAAAACAGTGCAGGAACACGTTCAGCAACATCGAATGATGGGGAATCTACCCTCCCACCTGTAACTGAAAAGCCAGACAAACACTGTCTATGAAAACTTGGGTTTCAGACACTGGACACAAGGCCGCACAAGACAGGGATTACTGACAGATGGGAAACAAACAAGGTGAGCCCCAAGACTGTTCAAGTTTGCTGCCTAGACAATTTCCAGAGAGTGGTGCGAGGGAGGGGCAGAACCCAGATGGAGTGTGGCTGGCCACGCTGGGCTGAGGAGATGAGGGTGAGAGTCCAGAGATGCCAAGGTAGCTGGAGTTCATGCCAGAGTGTCCCAAAGGAAAGAGCCACAGCGATAAAATGCTCTGGAGATCTGAAGAGGGCTCCTGCCCTAGAGTCTTCATCTGAGTACAAATCAGCAAATATATGCAAGAACAACCCAAGACCTGGGCCAGGAGGTGAAACACACTGAAAAGGTGAGAGGAAACAATAGTTGGGGTCACACAGGAACGTTTGTGTTCCCACCAAAGTGGAAAATCTAACTCTAACTAGTGAACTCAGAAAGGTTATTATTACTTAAAAGTGAGCCTCGAGAGAATCAAGCTGTTTCTAAATAATTTAACTATATCCTAGTTCAAAGCTCAAGAGTATTTATAGGAATACAACACTATTCAACATCCGAAAAAGTAAAATGCACAATGTATGTAATGTGTCCAGTAAAAAACTGACCAGGCGTGGGGGCAGAGGGGAAGGCAGCGGGGAGAGGAGAGAAAGGAGGGGGGCGGGGAGGAGGACTGGGGGTGGTGGACGAATCAAACCCAGTCAAGACATGAAAAAGATAGAGGCAGCAAATAAGAACACTAAAAGTTATTAGAACTGTATTGTATTTGCTCAAAAAGGTAAAGGCAAAATGTTAAATAAAGGCACAGATGATATAAAAAGCACCCACATTTAACTTCCAGCTTTGAAAAATACAGTTACTATATGAGATTAATAGCAAATTACACATTGCAAAGAAAAGACTAGTGAAGTTGAAGACACAGCAATAAAAACTGCTCAAAAGGAAAATAAAGACAGGAGTTAAATTAAACAAACCATTAGTGAGCTATGGGGCTTCAAGACAAATCATTGTATTTCCCAGGGAACTGAGGATTGAGAGGAGCACAAAAAAATTATTTAAAGAAATAGTGGCCTAAACTTCCAATTTCAAGAGAACTATAAATCCACAGATCCAAGAAGCTCAACAAAAACCTAAGCAAAAGAAAAAAGAAAAAAAAAAAAACCAGAAAGAAACTCTATCAAAGCATATCGCAATCCCACTGCTGAAGCTGTAATGAAGACAGTATCTCAGAGCGACCAGAGAAAAGCAGCGTGCATAAAAGAAACAAGGGCAGGCAGGTGACGGCAGGCTTCTCATCAGAAACAAAGCAGGCAAGAACGACGGGAGCAGGACCTTTACTGAAAGACAAAAACTGTCCACCTGGAATTCTATGTCTAGCAAAAGTATCATGCAAAAAAAATGAGGCAAAATAAAAAAGATGTTTTTAGACATACAATTGTATTATCTAAAAATCACCAGCATACCTTCATTATAAGAAATATTAAAGGAAATCTTTCAATCAGAAGGAAAATAACAGAAAGAAACCTGCTCACACACAAAGGAATAAAGTACATGGATAAAAAAAACTTTTCCTACTATATGACTGTTTAAAGGAAAAATAACAATATTGTGTGAGATTTATAACATATATAGAAGTAAAATATATGACAGTAACAGCACAAAGTCCAGGAGGAGAGAAACGGAAGTGTACTGTTGTTAAGGCTCACACTACACAAGAAGTTGTGTAATATTACTGATACACTCTATTATAACACCTAAAGCAACCATTATTAAAGAGTTGCATAAAACTAATTAGTCAACAAAGGAGATAAAATGTAATTTTACAAAAAATAGAAGAAAAAAGGGAAAAAAGGAATAAACAGAAAATACAGTTTATTCTTAAACAATGTAAGGGGAGTTAAAGTTGCCAAAGTTCCCCAACACAGTTGAAAATTGCACAAAACTTTCTTTTTTAAAGACTGTATTTATTTATTTTAAAGAGAGGAGAAGGGGGGGGGGAAGGAGAGAAACATCAATGCAAAAGAGAAAAACCCCACAGGCTGCCTCTCCTCCATGCCCCCACAGGGACGGGCCTGCAACCCGGGCATGCTGTTCCCTGACCAGGAATCAGCCTGCCAACCTCTCACTTGCTGGGGTGACGCCCAACCAACCGAGCCACATCAGTCAGGGCTGAAAATGGAATATAACTTTTGATTACCTCAAAAACCTAAGTGACCCCCGATACCCAGAGTGGTAGAGCAGGGAGGGGTGATTCCAACCATCTGCCAGTTTAGGAACCAAAACTCGCAGGCGCCCAAGTCAGTCCCGTACACAAAATGGTATAGATCAGTGCACAGGCAGCCCTCCACACCCGCAGACTCCCAAATGGAGATGAGAAACAGCACAGGTATTTATTTATTTTTAAACGTCTGTGCATAGGCACTAATATGCTAGGAGGATGGCATGTCCAGAGAGAGTACACAGGCTGCACACCCCTTTCCCATAGCTCGCTCTATGCATCTCTTCTATATGGCTGTTCCTGAGATGGATCCTTTGTAATAAACCACTGATAGTAAAGGAAAAAAAAAAAAAAAATCTGTGTATAAGTGGATGCACACAGTTCAACCCTGTATGTTCCAGGGTTAACCTAAATCGTGTGACAGTACACTTAAACCCACCCATATCAATAAGAGCATTAAATGTAAATCTAACTAAACGAACTGAAAATAGAGAAAGCAACTAGTATCCACTGGAAACACCAGCCTGAGAACATCACAACTGGGAATTCGGTGCGATGCAGTATAAAGTGCCAAGTGTCCACAATAAGTCTGAAAGCAGTCCAGGCCCTCAGGACTCTACAAACTGACCAGGCAAAGCTCTACACTGAGGACAAAACTCCAAAATTAAAATTGAGTAGGACAGGAATAAAAGACATGGGGGAAAAAAGTCCAGATAAAAATGAGAGAAGAGAACAAAACCAGAAAGTCTCATACACTGCATAAAAACAGAAGAAAAAGAAAACTAGGTAGTTTTCTAGCTTATCCTGATGTTTTAAGGGGAAACTCCCTACATGCAAAGAACTGCAATTCAAAAACTACTAATAAGGCTGAAAAAAGAAAGAAATAGAGTTCAATACTGGTCCTGCAGAAATTAGAAGAGCAAAGTGGGAGTGATGTCTGCCTGTGATCCGAGGATAACTGGCAAACCCAGAAGTCACAGAGAACAGGAAAAGGGAAAGAAGAGAAATGTAGCTCTCCAACAGGCCTCCTTTATAAAACTGCTCAGCTTAGTTAAGGTCAGCAGTCCAAAGATCAGGAGAAACCAGGAGACCATGTGGGTACCAACCTCTATGGCTGCAGAAGAGGGAGTCTGGGTTTACTAACTCATTAGGTTAACCAGAAATTTTAAGCTGGCAAGGGAAGAATGTTATCATCATTGCTTCCTTTTGTTTCCAGGATAGTACTTTTCTACTTCAACCTTGCAGTTTTATTTTGTCTGTTAGTTATTTATACTTGTATATTCCCCCTTCTCACCCCTTACCATGCCATAAGCTCCAGAATGACAGGAACTGTGTTTTTGCATTCATGTATCTTCCATATGCCTGGTATAACACCTGGCAAAATGTTTTACACATAGCACCTGTCTGCTTCATTACATTGAGAAAAAAATCAAGGACGGAAAGGGAAAATTTACTCTGCATTGTTTCAGAGAAGTATGGGGAGGTATATTAAGCCAATGTTAACACAAAACTTGTTTAGCACGGGTTGCTTCAGAAGTAATGTCCCTTCACCACCTCTGAAGTATTAAAAAAGGGCTGCATGCCCCCTGGGCAGGGATGCTCAAGATATTCTCTGTGGATCTGGGGACTTACATATTTATGTGCATCTAGGAAAGCACTAAAGGTAGAAGAGAACTTTGAGATCTGCTTTGAGATTTTGTGTTTCTGAGTAGGGCTGTCCTCAAAGACTCATTAAAAAAGAGCAAAGGAAGAAAGTGGGGAGAAACCAATCTATCCCAGAACCTACACTGGAACGAACAGATCCCCCCCCATTAGAAACCTGTAACTTGAAAACGCAAAAGCTCAACCCTGCTCCATCAGAGAATGACCAGAACTGCGCCACGAAGCATTTCGCATGTGTTATTTTCATTTCATCCTTGATACTATCACCGTGATTTTTTATACAAGGACACAGACACTGAGAGAATAAGCAATGAATGGATTCGAACTTTGAATCAAACTATCTTCTTCCCACTGGACCTTCCTGCTTCTAAAATAAATAAGCACTGGTAAAATACAACATTGCTTCTTTTGTGTGTGACATTAAAAACTTAATTTTCTACCACGTCTCAATCTCCGTGCCATATATTTACGCTTGCATGTCTTACCACTTATTTCAAGCTCCGCCCAATGTGATTTCTTTCCATTTGCTGCTTCCTCAGAGGACATAATTGTGTACATCCTCCGAGGGTCAGGGGGCTCGTATTTTTCTTTGGGCATGCCTGTTAAATTAAGGAAAGAAACCGATCAGTATTAGGAAGAATCAAATAACTGAAAATAACAAGATCTTTTTAAAAGTAGACACCCACCCTAGGTGGTGTGGCTCAGTGGATTGAATGCTGGCTTGCAAACCAAAGGGTTGCAGGTTCGATGCCCAGCTAGGACACATACCTGAGTTATGAGCCAGTTCCCCAGCAGGGGGCACGTGAGAGGCAACCACACATTGATGTTTCTCTCCCTTGTCTTTCTCCATCCCTTCCCCCCCTCTCTAAAAATAAATAAATAAAGTCTTCAAAAAAAAAAAAAAAAAAAAAGTAGACACCCGTATTATGATCTCTAAATATCCTTCCCATGAGGAGCTTCTTGGAGAAATGAAGGATTGAACAAATTAACCATTAAAAACATTTCTGAGAATCAGACATATTTGAAAAACTAAATATATGTTGATATTAAAGAACTAATGTTCATTTCATTTGTTAGCTTTAAAAAAAAACCCTTATCTGTTATTGACACATTCTGAAATAGTTAGGTAGAAAGAAATTTCACTCCCTTACATATTCCCCCAAATGTCTTACCCAGTCTTATTTCACCTTATTCATTTGGATGAACCACATAACCCACTTTAACCAACTCTCCACCCACTCTGAATACCTACACAACTAAACATAGCTGGAAAAAACCTATCACCATGTGAATTTAAAGAGGGCTAGTCAGTGATTACTGCCCTCAAACGGACGCTTTATACTGACCAGAAGTTACACTGTCAATTCTCCCAGCCCCTGCCCTATATAACTTCTCCAATTCCCAACACCCATTCTTCCATCTCCCTGCTCTTCCATTTTCTCATTAAAACAGGAAACCAGAAGAGGCCTTTGGATGAACTCCGACCTCACCCATCTATATCCTGTTTTATTCGGGACAAAATGCCTGCCCCCTTGGCACATAATCCCACCCCATCACCTTGCCTACTCAAGGACACTGCTTGGCAATTTTCTCCAATGTCACATTTCCCCTCCGTACTGGATCTTTACCTTCTTTTCACATACATATTACTTCCTCTATTTTTTTTTTAGTCTTAACCCCCATTTCTCCTCCCCGTTACCACACTTTTTTCTCATTGTCTTTACAAGCAAAAATTCCTCAACAGTTGGGCACATTCCCGGTCTCCTACACCTACTCTCCCAGTTAAACAGATTCACACCAGTACATACTGTTAACATTCCACCAAAAACTGTCAAGAAGAAAACCAGTGACTTCACACTGTTACTGTATATCTCTCACACTGTTACTGTAAAAGATTATTTTAAAACATTTTTAGAGAAAAAGAGGAAGGGAAGGAAGTGAGGGGAGGAGAAAGAAACATTGATTTGTTGTTCCATTTATTTATGCATTCATTGATTGATTCTTGTATATGCCCTGACTGGGGATCAAACCTGAGACTTTGGCATATCAGGACAACACACCAAACCAACTGAGCAACCCAGCCAGGGCTAACCCAGTGATTTTCAACCTTTTCCATCCCATGGCACACACAAACTAATTATATTAAATTCTGCAGCACACTAAAAAATATGCCATATTTTTTGCCGATCTGACAAAAATAGGTATAATTTTGATTTAGGCACACCTGATGGCCATTGTTGTGTTGACTATTGTCATTCTTCTGTTTGACAATCTAAGGGAAGAGAGGTCGGTGACCCTGACTCAAGAGTCAGGTGCTGCACGTTTTAAATGTCCTTGTGGCGCACCAGGTAAAATCGCTGTTACGTCCAAAGGTCATTTCTCAGACCGCCTTTCACTCATCCTATGATCAACTCCTGATGTAGGTGATCACTCCTTCCTAGAAACATTTATTTCATTTGGCTTCCAGGACCTTTTCTCTTGGTTTTTCTCTTACTCTCTCTAGATTCAGTCTTTTGCTACTTCTTACTGCAGGACTAGAATTAACTCCATTTTACCAAGAGAAAGCTGAAGCCCAAAAAGGTTCAAGCAATTTTACTACTAGTGTTACAACACTGGGAAGTAACAGAATCAGGCTTTGAAAGTGTCTAATTTAAAGTTAAAGCTGCTTTTTAAGTGAAATAAGCCAATCGCAAAAAGACAAACACTATATAATTTCACTTATATGAGGTGCTCAGAATAGTCAAAATCGTAAAGACAGAAAGTAGAATGGAGGTTGCCAGGGCCTGGGAGAGAGGGAATGGGAAGTTACTGCTGACTAGGTATAGAGTTTCAGTTTTACAAGAAAAGTTATAAAGATGGTAACAGTTGCGCAACACTATAAATGTAATAACAAGAGCACCCCACTTAACAATGTTGCTAAGATAGTAAATTTTTTGTTACATGCATTTTCCCACAATAAGAACAATGGAGAAAAGTTAAAGTTACTTTCTTTATGCTATGCTATCTCCCTACTGATGGGACGTGTGCTATTTTTCAAACACAGAAATGGGCTTTGACCATGTAGTCAAAACACAGGAGGAAAGTCATCCCAAAAAGCTGCTTGAAAAAAGAATACAAATGGTGAGAACAATCATATGTACAAGAAATAGCAGTAATTTTGTTTTGTTAAAAACTGTCCTCTTCCAAGTTAATTTCTTCAGCATAGAAATACGAACAACTGAACTTAAAGACCAGTACAAAATACCCAACACGGAGAACTACGCAGTCAAGAAATGTTCCCGTTCAGTCCAGAGGACAACTGGTCAAAACCAGCGACCTTTCAGAAACACTACGACACCAGTAGTAACCCAGAAAATATAAAATGCTGTGTAAGGCTACCAGAATTTGAAAACATTCCTTAAGATCACCCAAATGCCATTTTTTCTGATTGGATTCTACTTAAAAAACCACCATTTGCTCTTTATTGCCTTTTCCAAATAGAATTTAATAATGAAAAAATTATTCTGTCCAGCTGAGTAAAGTATTTAGGTCCTATTATTAATCAATTTGACTTAGTGAAAGTTCAAAAATGGGATTCACTAATATCATATGAGCTGAGTGTGAATCAATATTCAGAGTTTGATCACAGCTCTGAGAATCGATAAAAGTGTTACTGAATTAAGATATCTGAAAACTTCTGCCCGAGCAGCCAACCACTCCCTTTCTTTGTTTTTTGTAACAGAGGATGGGCTGCCTTAAAATTTAAGACACAGGCCATTACTCTAAACTTGACAGCAGTGAGATCTCTATTTCCCAAACTCCTGAGACTGAGGATGGGCTGTGAGGGGATGTGTTAGAATAAAAAAATGGTAGCGCACTGGACGGCCAAGCTCCTCCGAGGAGCAGTGCGAGCAGCACGGCCCACCCACCTTCCTGGGAGTTGGACAGAACACAGCACTGGAGACTAGGTAGAGAAAAGGATGTAAGAATACATATAATTTAAGATCCCCCCCACAGCTTTGAAATCAACAAAGCAGATCCTACTCTCTAAAAAATACAGTATGTCACTGTAGATTGTCGTCTACAAAAAAAAGAAGAAAAGGCTTCCAAAATAGACTTGAAAACTGTCAAGGAGAATTACAAAAGACTTTTTAAAAATAGCTAGGCCAGAGCCAACAGGTGTACGGCACCTGACTAGTCAAACTCCTGCTGCTCCAATCCAGAGCCAGACATCACTGCTGATCCTGCCAGCACAATGCTGGCCCCAGCACAACTGTTTCAGGGAAACAGTTTATTATATGAGAATAATTATCTGTCTTGAAGAAACACAGGACATTACGTACCAGCATAGAAACATATGCTTTCATAATTAAATATTTTATAAAATGGTTTAAAAATACAGAACTACCCTGGGAAACTTAGTGTCTCGAAGATGATTTACAAACCTAACACAACAAATAAAGGACTATCCTGGGGCATTTAAACTAAGGGTGGACTAACCACATCCATCCACTTGGAAAAGACTATACTCTTCCACTGGGAAGAATGTCAGGAGCCCGCAGCCCCTGCCCAGTTCAGAAGTGCTGTGTGTGTGTGTACACAGGTACGGTGCAGTGAAGAGCTGGGGCAGGATTCACAGGGGGGTTATAAGGAATTTATCAGATTCTAGGGTAAAGAGGAAAGGTCTAAGACAAGAACTAAGGAAGCAGCCTGGAATGAGACCTCCATAAAGGCCCAGCATAAAAAGTTACACCCCGCCCCCACTATAGCCCCAAAGAGACGAACAGTTACAGTCCTTGAATTAGACCTGTTTTAACCATCCTCTGACTAGGAGTAAGTGGAAAGGAAGAGCCGCTGGAGACAGGAATGCACGGAAAGGGGACAGCGGCCTCTGGCCCATATTTCTGCCAGGAACCAAACTTACACCCAATCAAAACTGGGGATAAATATTTAAATGTTTCCCGTGGGAAAAGGACACGTAATGACAAAGCCAGCACTGAAATCACCAACTGCAACTGCCCACAGACAATGGGTTCGCCACAGTCTGCCTCTCGCCCTCCCCACACACACTCAGCCTTCTAAATGGGGCACCAAAGGGACCCCTCCACACCATTACCTGAATAAAAAGCAAAGCAACACAGAGCAGCCAGTGTCAAACAAATTTAACACAGCACAAATTCTACACAGAAACCACTACCAAAAAACAAAATACCACAGAAATAGAAAAAAACACTTTGCAAAAAAAGTGCTTGTTCTGCTAAAGAACATGAAACTCAAACAAAAACAGCAAGTAAAGTAGTAGGGGACAAGACAAATTGAGGTAAAAAAGGTACAGTGTAAACCTAGTGGGAAACATGTAAGTATCTGAATATTAGAATCTCTAAAACAAGACTGAGACCAAAAAAAAGGGCAAGTCACAGAATATACAAACATATTTCCTACTAACATAAAAGGCAAAAAGACAAAAGAAAAGCAAATGATCAACACCATGTAACACTATGATAGTAACTCCCTACTCAGTAACTCGGCAAATCCATGCTTCAGTATTGACCCAAAAGAAATAAAAATGCCCACAAAGACATTTACACAAATGTCAGCCACAACACCTTTATTCCTACTG